GGGCAAACCCTAATCTTGTGCAACCAAGGCGTATCATTATATCATATTCTGCTTTGTTGTTGTCATTGTAAAGCATATGTACAAAATCATATTCTACTCTTAAATTCTGATTCCACTTGAATATGTTCATGGAATTCAACTTCACCAGGTTATTTTTTTTCTCTCAAGTAGGCATATCAAAAGGAAATAGAAGATGAAGTGGAAGATAGCTAGAGTTTGTTTTATATCAGTTGAATGCATATATCCAAAAAATCTATTTACAATTTTGGTAGGCTAAATTGGTGCTAAATAAAAATTAGTTCCCACTTCATCAACTTCTTGTAGATACATACATGATTTAAAAATTGTTAAAAAAAAAAACTGCAACCCTATCATGTTGCATATAAGGAAACTAGAATTTGAGAATAATTATTTACAAATAATTTCAATTTTCATTTGAAATTTAAAAAAAAAAAAAGATTGGTTGATGATGCAACAACTCTTCCTGAGCTACATCCATATAAAGTTATTCAAAAGCCATCGCCAAAATTTGAGAGTGGGTATTTGGCAAGAAATTAAAATTCCTCTTTAAAATGCAACAGAACAATCCCAACAAGACCAAACAGTGACAGAAAACATAAGGTTAAAAGCAGAGATTGAGAGATTCGGACATGTTACACTTATCCTAATCAACTAATTTTTCAACTCTTCTACCACTAAAAAACTTCAGTACTGCAAAAATACAAATGCAAGTATAACTTAAAAATTATGGATATTCACAAAAAGAAAAAAAATGTGAAATCATAGATGATAATTTGATTCAAAGACTAAAATAAGAAAATGTACAAAAAATCAAAGTTGTGAAAACCGAACTGGACAACGAACTGGAAGAATGAGAGGTTCATGGTTCGACTCGACCAGTCAAACCGGAGTCGAGCCGAATGACGTAATAAATAATAATATTATAAAAAATTGATAAAATTAACATAATATAATATAAATATATGAGCATTTAATAATATTTATAAAAGTTTTTTCATTAATTAATATATTTAATAAAAATATTTTAAAAAGTAAAAAGAATTTAATAAACTAAATTATATTATTTAACATTTAATTAAAACAAAAATAATTTTTTTTATATAACCGGATGGTTCTTTCCAAACCGGACTAGTTCAGTGGTTCAACGATTGAACCGCCGGTTCAATCCAGTTGAACCGCCGGTTCAATGTGAAGCCGGCTCTATAAGCTGGATCGGATCGGTCACCCGATCAGTTCACGGTTGAACCAGTTAAACCGGCCAGTCCGGTCCAGCTCGGTTTTCAAAACATTGCAAAAAACTGACAATATGTTACAGCAATTACCATTGAAATTAAGAGTACAATTTAGAAGTTGCAAAGGATCCATACATTTATTTCAGCACTTGATCTCGAACACTGAAGAGTAGCAGTTCTATTTCCACCTTGGAAAAGAGGAGCAACCCACAATGGCCAAGAATTAGCCTCAGATAACAACTGATCCAACATCAATTGTAATTGATTATAATCTTGACAGGTAACTTCCAGCAGATCAATCACCCATGTAGAGCACAAAGAAGAAATAACATCAGCACTGAGTTTACCTGTTTCAGAAACACTAGACCTGATGGCCTGAATCAATATATTTCTTAGTTCAGACAAATTGCACATGTTAAGAATACTCGAGAAACGAGTAAGCAAGGAGTTACAAAACACATGCACTCGACTTGTTAGAGCACACTTAGCATCAACCTTCTCAGTTAAATGATCATCTGTATCGATTTGGGAATCTGGTAATATTTGAAGCTCTGTTCCATGATAATTCTTAGACTTATTGTCATCATCAGAAATTGATGACATACTACATTCCCAGTCGATAATAAATAGAGCTGCCAAAATAGAAGAAACCAAAGTACCATCCTCATCCAGTACTTTCAAGCAAAAGAAGCTGCCTTCAAGTACATGAAAAGCAAATTGAGCGATTTCAACATTCTCAACAACAAAGGACTTACGGAACACTGTCAAATCCAGAGATGCCAATGACAACAAAAAGGAGCATGAGTGCCTAGCCCAGTCAAAAGAAGATGTGTTAAGATAAAAAACCAACATTTTCAAAATCTCCTCAAATATAATTTTAACTGCTGCCCTTGAAAGAAAGCATATCTTCTCATCTTCAACTGAGCCGCCAAGTATTTCCCTACAATAAGATAGAGTAAACTTATCAGAAAATCAGGAGCAACATAATTTCTCTAAATGCTAAAAAAAGAAGAAGAATTTAACATTGATAGGAAAATCTAATATAATTATTTGCTTTCTAAAAAGGGTTGAATTATAAGCCAGACAAAACATAACAAACTGAACTCATGCCCAAGTTCTTATATTTAAAAACTATGAAATATGATAGCTACAAATTAGATGACATACATAAAACATAAAATTTAGCATAAAATTAATAACAAAAAATGAGAATTATAGTCGTCATATAAAGGTGTAGTACAATGAAAAACTGATAGTTACTGGTTAACTACAAATAAAATGAAGAAACAAGGAAATAGAAGTACTAAAACATTTAAATTCTCATAAAAGACACTAAAAGATTCAAGTTAAAAAATAATCATCTTTAGTTATTTTAAGCTATATAAAATACACCAAGGTCATGAAGCTCCCCCCAACTAAATTTTGTTAATTTTGAGTTGATGCACGCAGCCTTATTCAACAATATATAGTATCTATTTACGTGATTTGAAGCTATCACCTCCAAATCATAATAAATATAACCTAAATTATTTTATAGTATAAAAGTAAAAAACCATACATGAAAATAAACAAATAAGCAAATGATATTGTAAAAAAAATGAATAAAATAGATACATAATGCAAATCATACACAAATTTTAGACAGGATATGTGATTGCCATAAATAAAAACCAATGCAACAGAGATCATCAAAATTCTTAAAAGTTTTAAAGTGAAGAAAAAGTAAAGGATGATTTAGAAAGAAATATGTAATCTTAACAACAAATATAATAAAATTTCCAACCCGTCCTTTTTCACAATTAATATATTACTTACTACAGTAGACAGGATATGTGATTACCTTCTTCTGCAACCCTAGCTTGGATTCATTCCTTAGCTACCCGTGGCTTGCATACCTGCTTCTTGTGGGCTTTATGGCTTCAGCATTTCTGTCTGCTGGCTATACAAATTGCGGGATATGATTGAAGATCCTATCTTTTGATTATAAATCGTGGAAAAGTGATTATAAATAAGGGCATCTTAGGCATTTAAAAGACAAGACAAGGCCATTAATATTCCACTTAAAATATATATTATTTTCAACTTTTCTTGAGTGCTAGTTTTATGGGATCCTTTATTGACTGGTGAGATTGAAGACTACAGTTTTTGAATGAAGTTATCTACTTGTATCAACATGAACTTGAATAGTATTTGGTTATTTCCTTCCTTGGTTTGCATTATTAAATATTGTCAAATCTTTTACAAATTCATTTTTTGAATGTAATGTGATTTATGTGGGTCGAAAAATTCACGCCCCAGCCTCTCCGCAACCCTTTCTTTCTTTCTCAGGTCGTCGAGGAGAGTTTAACGAATACTTTTTTCGGCAAATTTTCAAAAGGCAACTTGGATTTTAAATAAGACACTACCCAAAGATTTCATCCTCATTTTGAGAGGACTTTATGATCTTAGATTAGGTTTCCTATAGGCGCAAGCCCCTATAGTTAATTACCCGTCCCAATAGAGAGAGAGAGGACTTTCGATTAAGGCCAGTCGTCAAACAAATACGTAGTATTCGGCGTATAGTAGCAACATGTTTAGGTATTTGAAAATTTAATATTTAAAATTAAAATTTCACCACCTCATACATAAAGCGGATGCTAGGGGATGATGATGAACTCGATCAAGATCTCATGGTTCCGTCATCCTGGGCCATCATGGTTCATGCTCTACTTAGTCAGAGGAGATAGTCGACCTAACCTGATAGAAGGATCCTTGTCGACAGTCATGGGTTGCTTTGTTCAAGGGTACCTTATAGACTAGGGGTGAATATTTGTCTAAGGGGACAAATTTGAATCCACCTTAGCTAACAAAGGGCCTTGTGCCCTATCGATTATATCATATGATTCATTGCTTAAGGATTTAACTCCTTTGGGGAAAATATGGGCCCTAATCATGGCCGTAATATAATGGTGTCATTCCGCAGCAAAACCACCCGGTTAGAGGATTCCAGTTATAACCGTTTATATGTGGTGTCATTTGGCGGCAAAACCACCGGTTATAGTACATGCGTCACATCCTTACTCGCAAAAGATGGTTTGAGAATGAATCATAATAGTATTTTTTATCAGACATTTGTTCTTCATGAGCTGAAGTCTTTTTCAGATTTGTCCACCTCGACAAATTGTTGTGGAGGATTGATGAGTTTTGTTTTAAGCATTTAATGTATTGTTTCATTTTAGTTATCGTGATTTTGGTGTGATTTTTGAAATTTTGGATTTTCATGAGCATTTGGAAATTTGAGAGGCATTTTTAAATATTTGTGGTTTCCTTTGATTGAGATTTTTTGTCAACATGGCCATCATCGAGGTATTTATGAGCATTATCATTATGTTGGTTGCTTTGTCTACTCTATCTACTTGCCGACGGAAGATCAGGTTAGTTGTTGACTTTATTCCTTTATTGGTGAATTTCCTTTGTTATAGACTTTGAAGGCATAATATGAATGTATAAAATCAATATTATGATCGATGCTACAACCGTATATTTATTTGATGGTTAGAACTATGTCAACTCTTATCCATTCATGTAGAAGGATCGGGTTCGAACTTGGATTTATATTTGACCCGCGCAACAACCTCATATGTCACATGTGTAACATACAACACGCTCGTCGGGGCTCATGTGGTGTTTAATTACATGTATGCTACAAGATGTATTTATGTGGCAGTTATATGTAGTAGTGCAATGAACATATATGACACATCTGCATGTTATGTAGACACACTCACGTATCTATTTGTGCATTGGCATATTTATTTGCATCATACATGATGTGTTAACATGATGCATGCATGATGACATATGGATTTGCATCTTGCATGATATATTAATATGCAACGTAGTGATTTAACTAGCAAACATAGTGTGTGGCATCTTTACATGATGTGCATTTATGATGTATACGTTGTCCGTTTGCTTGCATGATGCATTAGCATGATGATTTAGTGTTGGGATGTAGTGCATAATGCATTTGCATGTCAGTGTAACATGTTGCTACTGCACAATACATTTTGCACATTGGATAGTCTACTTGCATAATGCATTTTGCATTTTATGTAGTGTGCTTGCTTTACATGATGCATCTTGTATGATGCAATCCATGCAAGTTATGAATGCATCAGTATGCATTTTGATGCATGAGGGGGTGCTTTGGTAAGTCCAAATATGACTGGTTGCACAGGTGACGAGCATTTGAAAAATTCACAAATTTTCCTTTAAAAGAGGGGGTTGTAAACGCCTTATGTCCTCTTGTACAAGTGTTGTGGATCCAGTGGTGTGGCACTGCGCTTCATTTCTTCTTATGCAAGCTATTATTTTCTTCGGTACTCAGCTTACAGGAGCATACTTCAATATGCAAATATGTTGTATGATGCATCATGAGCCTTCCACTTGTTGCTTGCAAGCGAGTTGATTTATCTGATGTGACAGCCTAGAGCCACAAATTTACTGCCTCATTTTATCAATAGCTCACAGTTTTTACTACAGATTATCTGCTTTTGCTTACAGGTGAATCGTAGCTTCTTACCTCTTGCGAGCGAGGTGTCGTGCCATACGAACTTTGTTTGACGCTGCTTATGGCCCAGCATAACGTATTCAAGAGCTAATAACTATTGCATCACATTCAGCGCGAATCTTTCACCACTGCTTGTAGGCAGGTAGGATAATTGTATGCATCTGCTGCTTCCTGTAAGCAAGCTACTACATGCATGACGACTTCCTACGGTGACTTGTAGAAGCTCCTATTCATTATGGATTTGATACTTCTAATGGTAGGCAATATGTCGCACTCACCGCAATCCTCTTGATCACGTTTGAAGAAGATCCATACGGGTTGTCATATTTTTTACAAAGGTCATATACGCACTTGCAAGACACTGTGCATGTGATGGGTCATCTACCATTGCTTGCAAGTGTCACTACTTCAATATATAAGTGGGCTATTGCATGCATAACAAATATATTAACGCTGCATATAGGAAGCGCATATACTCTTTGCAGTTGGCCGATGTTCCTTGCGAGTTAATCTTGTAAGGAAATTGTTGTATTTATTGCATGTTAATCTATGCACATTAGCTGACAGGTCACTACATCTGCTGTTGTTGCTCGTGAACAAGTTAAGGCACTTATTCATCAGCTAACTGCTATTGACTGTAAGCAGTGTTGTGTATTTGTTTGCATGTCACATTAACTGCCAAACGACGTTGCATTCATTATTGAACTTCTCTACGCACATTGATTAGTGAGTTGCTATATCAGCTATCGTCACTCATAAACGGATCGATGCACTTACGTCTCAGTTAACTACTGTTGAATGCAGGCTAGTTAATACTGATTGAAAGGATGTTACAACATTCATTACAAGCTCTTCATACTTCACCCATGAATTACAACTATTACGCCTCTTCCACAGGCATAAACATTATACATCAAACAATCATCATTCGCAGGAGATTATTTCTCTGCTCACAGTGACATTTGTCGTATGCAAGCTGCATTCACTTCAAAGATTTCAACTACCTCTTAGTTGGCAATGCATTACACGATTGATCGTTGTTGCTCGCATGGTTGAATATGATCGCTCATGTGTTGATGTTGACAGCAGGGCCTTGTTGCACTCGTCAATAGCTTCTCCATGCAAGCTGATTGGCAAATTGTTACATTTATTTGCATGCCAGCTTCATGTTCATAGGAGATTGTAGTAGGTATGGTTTATTCACTATCGTTGTTCTCAAGTGAACTAGTGTATACAATTGCAAGATGACTAATGTTGAGCACAGGGGGACTACTATATTCATTGTATTTCCCATGTTTTCATTTATTGAGAATCTCAGAGGTTTGGAATGTCCGCTTGCAAGTTGATGTTGACATTGCACTAATTACTCATCAAGCTCAAGATTTGCGAATGAATATGTTCTTTTGC